CCCGAACTTACTTACGACGTCCGGCATTCGTCTACATAGGTTCGGCGGGTAAACCGACCGAACGAACCGAACAAATGGTTTACGTGTTGACCGAAAACGAGAAACGCAAAAAACTGATGTCAATACTCGAATCGGGTATCGAACCGCCAGTTATTATATTTGTTAACCAGAAAAAAGGTGCCGATGTTTTGGCCAAATCGTTGGACAAATTGGGTTATTCGGCCTGTACGCTGCACGGCGGTAAAGGCCAGGAACAACGCGAGTACGCATTGGCCAGTTTGAAAACGGGTGTCAAAGATATACTGGTGGCCACTGATGTTGCCGGTCGCGGTATCGACATCAAAAACGTATCGCTTGTCATCAACTACGATATGGCCAAAAACATCGAAGACTATACCCACCGAATCGGCCGTACTGGCCGGGCGGGTAAGACCGGTCAGGCCGTATCGTTTTTGACCAAAGACGACGCCCACTTGTTCTACGAACTCAAGGCTCTCATACAGGCATCGCCAGTGTCCACTTGTCCGCCCGAACTGGCCAATCATCCCGATGCCCAACACAAACCGGGAACTGTTGTCCAAAAGAAACGCAAAGATGAAACTATTTTTGTCTGATATTGCCGTTGTTGGGGCCGTTATGCGGGTATCGGGTATTACCCGTTATTGTCATTGACTGTCAAGTGTTAGCCTATACTTTCAAATTACCGATACAATCAATTACCGGTATTTAATTTTATGATTTTTTTTTGGTTACACTAACTATAATAATTAAATTATTTTTTTTAAAAAATAGTTTAAATATTTAGTGTAAAAATTACCCGAAAATATGTATTTCAAAAAAATTATGATAAATTTCAAACTAAACTTACGGTAAATTTTTGTTTTTTTAAAGTTAAAAACAAAATAATACAAAACGCTAAACATATTATTGATATTATTATTATTTTTTTTTTGTATATATTTATATAAATTATCATTTTTTTAATAAATAAATAAATAAATATGCTTGCTAATTATATATAATTATTAATTAAATTAAAACAATTGTTAATTATTTTTTTTTATTAATTTTAAATAATACTTATTATAATTACACATCAATTACAATACATTACAACACAATTAAAACAAACAAAAATAAATTTGAGATCAATTTTAATCATATTTACAAATAATAATATTTATCGTAATTAAGATTACAATCATAATAATCACATTAAATTTTAATAAATAAATTTATGATATAATCTAATAATAATAATAATTAATTAATTAATTAATTAATTACATGACTAATGGATATATCACTCGAGAGTATTGTTTTGTTTTTTATTTTATTTTTTTTTTTGATGATATCTCTTGAGATTGTTGTCTATGTTGTTGTCTTCAATGTCATCTACGACCAGCTCTTCTTCATCAATGTCATGGTTTCGTTGCTGATTATCGGTCCGAACAGTGGATTCAATTGCGACAAATAGGTGGTCAACCACATTGCGTAACAGCAAACCGATCCCAACGACATCATCATCTTGACTGCCGACCGATGTGGCCATTCTGGTAGAAACATTGGTCCGACGGCACCGATACCGCCGAACATCAACGTAAACAATAGGAAAATACCGAAACCCATGATCTGACCGACGCGCCTACCGATGATGATGATGATTACCGACGGTGTGTGTGTGTCCACTAAAGCTTTAGTTACCCGAATAGTTGCTATTAATTGTTGTTGTGATGTCTATGACTGCGATAAATACATATTTGATTTGATGACTGCTTTACTTATGATATATTAATTAATAATAACAACAATAATGTCAGTCATATTTATCTATACTAAGGGACTGTCTATATATTGATTATTGTATTATATTTTTTATTGTACATTAATGTATGTGTGTATGTATGTGTATGTATGTATGTRTGTGTGTGTGTGTGTGTGTGTGTGTGTGTMTGTGTGTGTGTGTGTGTGTGTGTGTGTGTGTGTGTGTATGTGTATGTGTATGTGTATGTGTATGTGTATGTGTATGTGTATGTGTATGTGTATGTGTATGTGAATGTGTATGTGTATGTGTATGTGTATGTGTATGTGTATGTGTGTGTGTATGTGTATGTGTATGTGTATGTGTATATGTATGTGTATTAAACATTAAACTGTACTTAAATTTGTTTAGCGGTTCGGTTTCGGTTTTTATTGTTATTAAAAAATAAAAGTATTTTCTTACAATATTTGAATTAAATTATAAGTTATTATTTTCAAAATTTATAACAAAGGTTTTTATTTATTTGGTCACAATTTTACCCGAGATTTAGATTTTATTATATTAGTATTATTAATATATAGTAAGATTTTTTTTGTTTTATTTATAATAGGTTTGGTTTCTTAAAAAAAAATAAAATAGAAAATATACTATACTTTTCATGTCTAATATTAATTTCATACAACAATAATTATTATTAAATTATTAAAAATTGTTTAAAATCATAGCGTGGCGGCCATTATTGTTTTGGTTTTGTTTATAATGAAATAGTTTTTATTATAGCGTGGCGTCCATTATTGTTWTGGTTTTGTTTATAATGAAATAGTTTTTATTATAGCGGGCGGTCATCATTGTTTTGGTTTTGTTTATAATGAAATAGTTTTTATTATAGCGTGGCGTCCATTATTGTTTTGGTTTTGTTTATAATGAAACATTTGTTTTTATAAATATATAGACAGTCCCTCTCATAATACAATTGTTTTCATTATCATTTAATATTCAATGCAATAATAATACTATAAAATAACAATCAATTAGTAAACAAACGATTCATTTATTTATTTATTTATTTAAGTGATTACTATTTCAAAACACATTGTATATATCGACGGCCGCCGATTACCGTGAAGTTAGCCGTAAAAATAAAATGGACAACGACTTTCAAACACATTACGACGCAGTGGTCACCGGTACCGGCCTAACCCAATCGATGTTGGCGGCGGCCATTGCCCGTAGCGGCCGAACAGTATTGCATTGCGACCAAAACCCGTACTATTCGCAAGAGTGGCAATCAATGAATTTTACACAACTGGCCGACTGGTGTCGGGATCGCCAATCAACGGTAACGACATCAGTGGTCGCCAACACGGAGACTGACGCCGCCGCTGCCGCCTCACCCGCTATTACCGATCCATCATCAGCAGCAGCGGCGGCTACTACTAGTCAACAACATCCCGATCTACATTTGCTTCGGCAGCGGGAACTGTACCGTAACTGTAGCCGTCCATCGTATATAGCAAACGTTACGCCAATATCCTATCTGTGCGATATCGAGTCGGACGACGTGACCACTACCGGTGACGCTACCGATCAGGAAATACAGCAGCATTTGGACGCACTGGTCGATGATATTGTAGAGCCGCCACCACCGATGCCGCCGCCGCCGCCTCCTCAGGAGGAGCTACAGCAACAACAACAACCAGTGGGAACACCTGTTGAGGACAACAACACACCATCTGATGCTATCAAGTGGTCAATGTTTAAGTTGAATCGCGAGTCCCGTAAATTCAATTTGGATTTAACTCCACGGGTAATATTAATAAATCATTTTTGTTGTTAATCAATGATTTATTTATCGGTAATTTATTTATTTATTTATTTTTATTTTTTCATTGATTGATTAGTTATTATACTCGAGAGGAGCAATGGTAGACCTGTTGGTGTCGTCTAATATATCAAGATATGCCGAATTCAAAGCCGTTACCCGAATATTGACGATAATAGACGACAACACCGACACAAACAACAATAGGATAGTCGAAGTGCCCGTCAGTCGCGGCGATATATTTAACAATAAAGACGTTTCGGTTATCGATAAGCGAATGCTTATGAAGTTTATGTCGTTTTGTGCCGAATATGATAAACATTTTGATGAATATGAAAGTAAAGGACCGATCAGTAGTAATGAAAGACTAATTAGTGATTTAATTAATGATTTTTGTTGTATTGTTTAATAGAGTACGAGAACGAACCGATTGGCGATTTTCTGGCCGCTCAGCAATTGTCGCCATTGCTCCAGAAGTTCATATTGAATGCCATAGCAATGACTCGACCGCAWTGTCCAACCAAAGAGGCACTCAAATTGATTCATAGGTTCATTCATAGTGCCGGCCGTTTCGGTAATACACCGTTTTTGTTTACACTGTACGGTACCGGTGAACTGCCCCAAGCATTCTGTCGTCTCTGTGCCGTATTTGGCGGAACCTATTGTCTGAAAATGAAATGTCAGTCACTTATTGTCGACACCTCGTCGGCCGARCCGAACAAGTGTACGGCCTGTGTGATCGATGGCCGCCGTTTTGATTGCAATAATTTAATAACCGATTATACCGTCGAGTCTACTAACGATGATATAAACACCAGTGATATGAATAGCGGCGAAAAACGTTATGTTTCGCGGGCTATAGTTATCAGCGATCGATCGATCAAACGATCAGATGTCGAGCACCTGTCACTGCTTCATATCCCGCCAACCGATGATAATAACGGCAACAAAAATTCAGTCTATCTTATCGAAGTCGGCTCATCAGCACTGGTAGCACCCAAAGGCTTATGTATGTTATTATCAGTAAACTAATTATTAGTAAAAAAAAACTAGTTTTTAATTGATTTTAATTGTTTTTTTTTTCATTAAAACAGTTGTCCAATATTTATGGTGCGATTCGACTGCCGACTGCGCTAAACACGATTTGATGCCAATCGTTAAAAACTTATATAACTTTACACCAGATATTACTGAAAATTGTGATGAAACCGATGATAAACCAAAAGTTTTATGGAGTGTATACTATAATCAACAGTCTTCCAGATGTGTCCAACCAATTGATTTACCCGAAAATGTCTGGACAACTACACCGCCGGTTAGCGAACTTGATTTTGATTTGGCAATCGATGAGGTAATAAATTTTTGATTAATTTTGTATTGGATTTAAGGTAACTAAAAAAAAAATTGTTTTTATTTTTGTTTTATTTTTTTTTAATAATAATCTTAAGGCTCGTACACTGTTTACAAAAATGTTTCCCAACGATGAGTTCCTTCCTCGAGCTCCCGATCCAAATGAAATACTATTCGATGGCCAACCAAACGATATCGAAATGAATGAACCAAACAATCAACCAATTGATGAACCGATTGTCGATAACGATAACAATAATAATAATAATTAAAATTAAAAATGATATTATAAATTGATTGTTAGGTTATATATATATATTTTGTTTTGTTTTGTCTCTCAATTTTTGTTTAATAAATAATAAAAATTTGTTTATCGATTAAATAATTACCGGAAACTAGTTTGTTGTTGACTTTAACGCCGCCACTACTGACCGGCACTTTGACTATACTTTAACTATAAATAATTATTACTATAAATAAATATAATTAAAACTAAACAACTTTTATGGCCACCAAAAACAATTTGATGCAACAGATAAATAATTTTTTTTAAATATATATTTTTTATTAAATAATTTAACAAAAATATATAATATATAAATATATTTGAATTGTTATTAGTGATGAAAAAAGTTAATTATTTTGTTTAAAACAATAGTATAATATATCTAATAATAATATTAATATTATTTATATAATATACTGTATATTATTTATAAAACTTATGCATTAATATAATTTATATGTAAAAATTTATTAATTTATATCTACAGAATACTGTTTTAAGTAAATAAATTTTATATATAATATTAAAAATTAAATTAAATACTAAAAAATTACTATTTAATGCATTTATAATTATATTATTATAAATTTTTTTTCAAACAACTAATTATTACAATTAAAATTAATGTACTACATTTATATATTTGAAATATTGTATTTTTCATTATATATATATATATATATAAATATATCAATAAATTGCATAATAATTAGCAGTATTGTTGTAATTTGCTATCTTTTGAATTATTATTATTATGTTATTTACATATGACTAACTTTTGAATATAATTTATAATTTATAATATATTTTTAATTAAATTATTAGATTTTTAACTAAAAATAATAGTAAATTTTATATTAACTTATATATATATATTAAAATGTACATTAAAAAGTTTATTAATCATATTAGACATATTTTTATGAAAATTATATATATATAATTAATATGACTCTCTCTCTCTCTCTCTCTCTCTTTCTCTGTCTCTCTCTCTCTCTATCGATCTATCTCTAAATGTTTGCTAAGTTACACATTTAATTAGCATATATACAGTATATATGTATATACTATAAGAGAGAGAGAAAGAGAGAGAGAGAGAGAGAGAGAGAAAGAGAGAGAGAGAGAGCGTAATAATTCAAAATAAATTTTACTATAATATCAGATATTTGTAGCAATATTTATAAATTATTTTGTTTTGTTTTTGTTTGATTTATAATAAATTATTATTTATAACTAAATTTATGAATAGTTAACAAATAATTATGTTATATAATAAAAAATTTTATTAGTGTATTTTTGTTTTTTTTAATATCATAACTATAAAATATGAATATTACAATAATTAACAATAAAAATAAATTTAATAATAATTTATTAGTTTATATTTTATTATAATGTATTTTGCTAAAATGCTAAAATTTATCAATATTTTAAAAAAATATATTTTTAAACATATTTTGAATAAGTTTATTGATATAATACTATATATATATATAACAATTGGGGTTAGTTTTATTTATTATAATTATAATTAAACACATATAAATACCATAGTGTATATAGCACTGGCAAAACTACCGTTCCTTATGATTTTTTAAAACAACAACAACTTTTCATTAAAACAATATTTTTATTACAGAATTTCAATTATTTTTTTTTCATACAGTTATTAATATTGTTTCAATTATCAAAAAATTACATGATTTTTTGATTTAGTAGGTTTTCTTATATAAATTTTTTTTGTTTAAAGAGAAACCAACTAAAATAATAAAAATATGCAGCATATAATTTATAAACAATTTTATTTATTTTATTTCTATACTGTATAAATAGTCTTTTTAAAATTTTAAATTAAATTATTTAAAATATGTTTCTATAATATATATATATATAAATATTTTCTTACAATTTACTTAACAAATATATTTCTATATAATTGTATCCATTTGTAATACATTATCTACTATATCGGTAAATAACAGTTATATATACAGTTATAAGTTGTATATGCGTATATATATATACTGCTATATATACCGTTATACAGGTATATACTGTTATATATACCGTTACTATATAACGATTTATATATAATGTATTGTATATACCGGTATATACTGTATATAACTAGTTCACTGTGTTAAAAAAGTTCTATTATATTCAAAACCAAAACAATAATGGCCGCGTTTTTACAGATCATGGACTAATTACATAGTTAATATTTTATTATATTTATATGTATAAGTCAAGGTTAAGCAAGGTTTTATATATTAGCAGGTAGAGGTAGACTGGGGTGAAATTTACAAAAATCTCGAAAAATCTTAGGGACATAAATAGGGGTAGAAATTTTATTGCATTTTTAAACATCAACTTAAAAAATGTGGGTCAAGAGAAAATTTCCTTAAATTCTCGAATATTTTCATGTAAATTCCATAAGTTCCCATAAGATCCTGTATAATTTCCCAGGAAAATAGGTAAAATTTTCAAAAAATATAAAAAATTAAATATTAATAAAACTTAAATTATAACAAAAATAAATAATTTATTATAATTTTATTATAGACTCGTAGATTGACTACACTTTATGATTTATGATCGATTTTATGATTTCGAATTAAATATCGATGATAATTTGTCTAGGCTAATGGTAGACCAAATTGATGTTATTAATTTAATTACGGTACTAACTTATCGACAGACAATTTTATTTGATTCAATATATTATAATATCGAAATATTATAATATATTAATTATTTATTATTAATTTACAGGTATGGATATTATTAATTATATCGTTAATTTCAATTAATTTAATAATAAAACTAATAATTAATAAAACTCGTAATCCGCATACTATTATTATTTTAATGTTAACACTGCGGTCGAGTCATTGCTATAACAGTCAGGTATGAACTACTGGATCAATTGGCCACTCAATTGTTTGTTGGCCAGAAAATCGCTGATTGGATCGTTTTTATACTATATTGAACCGTAAAAAATTTAATTAATATTTTAATCTCTCATCACTACTACTATTACTACTTCCATTTGGTTATGTAGTTGTTTTGGCTACTACTGAGTCGGTGGCAACGGCTCTACATCATCCAAAAGCTGAGTCCATCAAAATGCTGTTATATTTGCTGATCGGGTGTCGTCGTAATCGACGGTAGTTAAAAAATCAATTAATTGATTAATAAATAAAATATATATTATTGTTATTTTTTGAAATTTGAAAAATATATGGTTTATATCAAATTTTAATTAAAAATACAGGTATAAATATATAATATATATATATATATAATATTTTACGTAATAATTTATACTTTTAGTTAATTTAATTTTTCTTCATGTTAGTTTGTTTTATAAATAATTAATTTATTAATCAATTATTTTTAAATAAATATTCTTAAATATAATACTTTAAACAAAACAAAAAAAATTAATTTATTAAGACGAAAAAAAATTAAATTTAAAAAGAATATATTTTATTTTTATATAAATATTGAATATATTTTCCTATTGGACCCCAACTATACCTTATTTGATATTTGGGGTACGCCTACCTGTGTGCCTCTTTGTTTATTTGATTTTTTTAAAAAATTAATTAATATCAATTTATCAATATTTTTTGACAACAATTTTGGATAAAAATTAATTTAGTAAAAAAAGACAAAAAAACTAACAAAATTTGATTATTAAAAAATCATATTTGAATATTTAGATATAAATATAATAAAACTATTGTTGGTCTTATATTTTTAACATAATTATAACTGCCTTTTCAATTATGATTTTCAATAGTAGTCTCCAGTTTAACGATCATAATCAATAAAAATAATACTATCGTAGAAATCATCATAATAGTAATCACTATAATCACGATAAAAACTAATTACTATCGGGTTAATTAAATTTATAAGATTAGTAGTAAATAAATAATAACAGTGTTGATGGTGGAAACAATGATAACATTGATGATTATAACAATTAAAAGTCTTACAACAGATACTGATTGGAATCCATATAAAAAAATTATTATAAATATTTAAAAAGTATTAAATTATAATTAAAAAATAATAATTAAAATTGATTATTAAAAGCGATACTGATTATTAAAATAATATTGATTATTTAAAAAATATTTTTTACACCTCCATCACCACTACTAGTTTTTTAAAGATTAATTTTGTAATGTAATTAAAATAAGATAAATGAATCTATATGATTGTTTTATTATATATATCTAATCTAACCTAACAATCTAACTTAACCTAACTTAACCTATCTTAACCTAACTTAACCTAACATAACCTAACTTAACCTAACTTAACCTAACTTAACCTAACTTAACCTAACTTAACCTAACTTAACCTAACTTAACCTAACATAACCTAACTTAACCTAACTTAACCTAACTTAACCTAACTTAACCTAACTTAACCTAACTTAACCTAACTTAACCTAACTTAACCTAACTTAACCTAACTTAACCTAACTTAACCTAACTTAACCTAACTCAACCTAACTTAACCTATATATTAAGTATAGGGATATTTAATATGTAAAATAATAATATTTTATTATTATATTTTTTTATTTAAACTATTTTTTAGTGAAAAATTTTTCTAGACATTTAAAGAAAATTAATAATCATATATATAAATCATAAATAAAAATATCCGGCTATGTTTTGACCACAATATATCATATATAAACAATATAAAAAATTAAAATAATAGTATAAAAATAAAAATACATGAGAAAAAATATTCTTATATTTACTTTAATTTATTATAATTATAGTTTTATTAATTTTTAAAATTTATTAAAATATATGGATTTGATTTAAATGTAATCAAATACAAATAGCAATTTACGTAATAATATTTATAAAATTATTAATTATTAATTTTAGTTAGCTATTTCTATTTTATATATTTATTCAATCAATTTTAACAAGAAATATAATAATTCTTATTAATCATTTATAATAGTTATTA